AGGGGGCTGCCATAAACTCGAGTCCCTCCCTCCCCCATACCCACGACATAAGGGATCTAAGAGGGGCCTACAGAGCTTTGCAACACACACACACACACACACACACACACACACACGCGCAGATTCATTCCGCCAGTTTGTCAGAGCTTCCGGTTTGAAACAGCCTAATCCGGCATCATAGGGGACTGTCCAGATACATTATGGCATAGCCCTTCAACAGAAATGCACGCAGTTCCTTTAAAAAGCATGAGCGTGCTTCAGGTACTGACGAGTATTTCCAAGCTACGTTGTCAATTAGAAAGGAAAATAAATAGAAAAACAGTGTGGTGCCCATCGTGTGGTTAAAAATATAGGATGTCGCTCCAAAATGTATAATACACATTTGAGTTGATAGCTCGGTTGATGTTTCTTTCTTTTCAGATTTAACCCATTGGAATTAATATTTTCAGATTTAACCCATTGGAATTAATAATTATTCAGAGTGTGTTTATACTTTTTGAGACACCCTGTATATACCTCTATGGTTATACATGCAAGAATATCTTTGGCTGTGTGTACAGAAAAAAAAAAACTGTGTCAGGGGATAGAGACAGGGGCAGGGGTTAAGATGAAGAATCCTCATCACTAGATAAAATACACTTTTTGTGTTAGTTGACTTGTTATCATGTGTATATTTTCTATTTAAAAAATTACTTTTACCTAGAAAAAGTAGAAACAAAACCACACTCTTAAAGCAACAGCATCAGAACTATAGTATTCAGGCTGCCCAAGCTCTTTTTTAAAAAATATTTTTTCATTGATTTCAGAGAGGAAGGGAGAAGGGGAGAGAGAGAGAAACATGACTGATGAGAGAGAATCATGGATCGGCTGCTTCCTGCACGCCCCTAACTGGGGATGGAGCCCACAACCTGGGAATGTGACCTGACCAGGGATTGAGTCCTGACCTCCTGGTTCATAGGTTGATGCCCAGCTACTGAACCACGCCAGTAGGGCCAAAGCTCCTTTTTCCGACTGACATGAGAGTCCCAGATAATTAACTTAACATTGGGTCTGAATGTTGAGGGTTGGAGACCAGCTTATAGCAGATATTGAGGGCCTGCTGGGGAGGCCCCACCAGCCTCCCACAGGGTCTGTTCTGGAAGCCCCACCACCAGTGCCCCAAAGCAGGTTCCCTCAGGCATTAACAGCCCGAATTTCAGGTTTCCAGGCTCCTGGTTTAGTAAGAGGGGAGGAAAAGAAAGGGGAAAACCCAGCCAGGTTGCAGCTTGCAGTGGAAGGTGTGGCCATGTCACACTGTGGGTGTTTCCAGGGGCACCTTTGGCAAGGGGTAGCAAGCTATTACCTCACACTCACTAGGATTCTGACACCTGGGAGCACTTGATCTTAAATTTTGATGACAAGCCACCTGGGCTTCCCTGCTTCCACCTTTGACCTTTGACTGGCTGTGAGACTTGGGACATGACAAATTTTCTAAGCCTCAGTTTTTTTCATTCAAACAGTAGGAGGTAGAGTGGGATGGGGGAGAGAATACTGCTACTAATGATGTCAGAAGGTTGTTGCTAAAATTAGGCTTTCAATAAATGTTGTCTAGCTTAGTAAAAGCGTGGATTCTGGAGCCAGACAGCTTGGGTATAAATCATAGCTATACCATTCACTAGTTTTGTGACTCAGTCTATTCACCTGTTAAATGGGCATAATAATAATAGTACCTAAATCATAGGGCTTTTATAATCTACAAATCAGTTAACACATATAATATACTTAGAATGGTACCTTGTGTATAGCAATTTTTTGAGCTGGATAAGGTCTTCACCGGACTTTTTATTTTTAATAACAAGGAACTGTGGTCCAGAAAGGGACTTGTCCAAGGGCGACTATTGCTTAGTGACAGAGTCAGGAATTAAAACCCAGTCTCCCAACTCCCATTCTAGAAGGTTTTCCATTGTTTACTTTAGACCAGAATGTTTTCTTCCATTCTGGTAATAAAATGAGAAAGAAGTGAGCAAAAACCTGTTGGGAATCAAAGAAAATGATACTGGGTTCAAGTTCAGTTGTGTGGCCACAGCCCAGTTTCTTCAACTCTTGAAACCTTCCTTGGGACTAAGTTGAGGATAATAATATGTACCTGGTAGTGGTGATGTGGTAAGTGCTGTTGTACGTGTAAGATACCAGGCATGTAGTGTTTCTCAGTAAATGGTAATATTAATACCAATTAATAATAGGTGATGGGATAGTAGGATCCCACATCTACAGATAGTTGCTTTTTTTTTATTTCTTGATCTTCCAGGGCTTGCAAACTGACCCGATAATTC